CATTAGGAGTATAATTTTTCTTCATTTTCTTCTTTATTGTTGAAAATTTTTCGTTATGAAATCTTCATTTTAGTACACTTCATAATAGCTTCAATTTTTCTTTTTTCTTCAGCAGGAGTATTATATTTTTTATATTTTTCTGTTTTAGTACAATTTTTTTTTTTGTGAAATCTTCATTTCCGTAATTTTTTAAAATAATAGCTTCGCAATTTGTTTATAGCTTCAATTTTTCTTCTATTTCTTTCTTCAGCAGAAGTATTATTTTTATTTTTTTTTATTAATTTTTTAAATGAAATCTTCATTTTAGTAAATTTTTATAATAGCTTCAATTTTTAATTTCTTTCTTTAGTAGGATTATTATTTTTTATTTTCTTCTTTTTCGATTATTTATTTTAAAAATTATTATTATTATTATTATTATTATTATTTTACAATAAAATATGTGATAATAAATAAATAATAATTACCTAAATTAAATTGTTTATAAATTGAATAGAAAGAAATTAATTTTTATTTTTAAAAATCGTATTAACAATGAGGTAGATGTATAAAAATAACATTTTTTTTTTTTTTGCGCTTCACGTTCAAAAATAACCAACGACAAGTTTATAGACCTGAGAAATTCTCTTGACAAAGTTCGAGGACACTACTTCAAGTTCATTGACATTCTGACAATTTTTTTTTTAACGACATTCTGTATATATAGTTCTTCGACAAAACTCGAATTATTATTATTTTATGTTGTTATATATTTAAACTGCATTGTAACAACCTGGAAGCCTTTCACTGAAGCTTTTTGCGCCCGCCAAAAGAAAAAGAAACGAGAGAAAATGATATTATCGACGTGTGTTAATATATCGAGAGAAACACACTACAAGAAGATAATGTAGATTTCTTTAGCAAAATTTCAATACACTTATCAAACATTGGTAGTAGAGAGTGAGATTTCTACTTTATCAGAAGATGATAAATGTATACAGTCTAATCTTAGGATAATATCAATCGCGATTCAACCGATAAAAAGTGACTGGAATAAACAAATGTTTCTATATTTCTACCGCACAAGGCCAAAGTAACAGTTCTTCAATAACGGCTTTAACTTTTTTTTTTTTTTTTTTCAAAAATGCTAATTCAACCAAACAATTTTCAATATCTCAACTTTTGTCATTTATTTGTTCTAAAAGGAAAAAAAAATTTTTTTTTCCATATTTGTTTCAATTTTTAGAAATTATATTTTTACCAAATTTATTATTTTTCTCATTAACAATAATTTGATTAATATTTAACCATTTTTTTTATAAAATAAATTTTCTAATAAACAATTTATTAATTAAATAATTAAATAACTAATCGACTAATTAATTAAATAATTAAATAATATACATAAATATTATTTTTTTAATATTAAAGTTAATAATAATACTATAATAATTATTATTTTATTTATTATTATAATAATTATAATATTAATTTTTTAAAATACCTTCAAAATTTTGTTGACAAATTCATAAAAATTGTTTTAAAAAAATTTTTTTATCAAATTAAATTAATAACTTTTTTTTCAAAATAAATTTCTGACATATTTTTTTTTTAGAAAAAAATTTTTATTTTATATAGTTCAAACTGCGCATTTTTTTTATGAATAGTAAAAGAAATTTTATTCTTTTAGATAAAAAAAATTTTTCTAACATTGAAAACACGTTTTTTTCTTATCGAACTGACATTTTCATCTAAATATGGCAAAATTTTATTGACAAAAGTGAAATAAATTTTTATTTTTTTTTTTAGAACCAATTTTTTTTGAATTGCTTTTTTCTATATTTTTTTATTTTTTAGTTTTTAAAGCAAATATTATACAGACCTGAGTCAGCGCCGGTGTATATTGCAGATGGAAGGGGGTGCCAAGGTGTGCAACCTGTAAACGACAAGAAAGAGAAACAAAGATAGAATTATTGTGCACATTGGTTTATGTCAGGAACGTATAATAATAAAAAAAAAAAAAAAAAAAAAAATTGCAGCCATAACACATGATTAGAAAAAGAAAAAAAAAATTTCATTTAATTCTCGTCAATCAATTTTCTTTTTCTATTCATGAGCGCGCAGGTATGGAAAATTTTTTAATTCGCGATTTTTTAAAAATAAAATTTCACTACTCTTCGCATTTAAAGTAGAATTTTATTATTATAAAATATAATGTAAATAATAATAATATAATAATAATAATAATAATAATAACTACATACTAATTTATTAATTAGTTAAAACAAATAATTAAAGAAATTCATTAATTGCTTCATTAATTTTTATTTATTATTTACCTAAACTAATTTTTTTTAGGTTCGAATAAAAAATTCTAAAAAAAAAAAAATGTTTATTCTAGAATTCGACACAAATGCGGTAAAAAATCGTGAAAGTCAATTATAAGTGCGCGCGAGATTTGTAAATAACCGATAGTTTCATTTAATTCTAATTAGTGATGAAATCAACTGAATTTTAATATATAACATTTACATTATCAAAATTCTAAAATGAAAATGTTATATATAAACTTAAAAATTTCCATATTTAAGTATCAAGAATTTATTTTTATGTAAATTCCTTATTTTGAAGTTAATAAAGCAATAATTTTTTTTTTTTATTATTTCTTCATGTGCATGTTCTATTTTCTTTCTAATAAAAAATAATTGTATTAAACTACTTTTAAGTTCATATATTTGTTAAAATTAATCAAACTTTTAAATTATTAATAATTTTGTTAACTAATATTAATAGTATAGAAAATTTTTTAAATATAGTTTTACTAAATTTTTTTGGTTTTAATTTCAAAATTTTCGATTTTTTTCTAATAAAACAAAACAAAAAAAGTTTTAATTTAATAATTGTTTTTTTTTTGAATAAAAAGTATTTAAATAAGCGCGGTTAAATTCACGACTGCGCAGAGAATACACAAAAAAATGCGATTGACGATTGGTTGATTTTCGTTTTCATATGTATTCTGCGCCGACGCGAATTTATTCCGCTTTGTTTGTCCATGCCTTTTTTTTTGTTTCAAAGAAAATTTTATTTTAAATGAAAGAAAACAAGTCATAGAATTTGGTTTCTTTAAATCAAAAAAAAATTTTCTAAGAATTAAACATAGTTGTTTATTGTCCTATATATATATTTATAATTTTGAATTTCGCCATTATGTTCGCCTCTTGATCCGAACTTTACTTCTAATTTTGAGGTTATGTTCGCCAAAAAAAAACCTTTCAATAGCCGTTTTTTTCACCGTATGGGTTAAATTTAATTTTCCGACAAGTTAAAGGCAGTTTTGCGCAGGAGCTATAACACAAACATTCCGCGTCTGCGCAGAAGTTATAATACAAAAATTCTGCGTCTGCGCAGGAGCTATCTACTCCCTTTAACCTCTTCAAAGATTATAAATTTAAGGCCAACGCGCAATAGATTCGCGAACGAGATGCATGAGATAGAAAAGGATAGGAATATATTTCTGTTCTTTTCTCACTCACACATATTTCTCGTTTGCGAACACTTTTACGAAGTTATTCTGCTTAGGCCTTTATCCACACAGTGAAAAGGAGTACTTGTGGCTGCAGGACTTTCGATCTAATTTTAAGGGCAGGTCCAAGTGAGGCAGCGCCATCTACATTGAAACTAAAATTTTGTGAAAATTTCCAACAACCTTTTCTTGAAAACAAGAAGATAAAATGCTTTTTCCTTTATGGATAATTGATTATTGGCAAGAAATACACCAGCTAAAACTTTTTTTTAAGTATGTTAAAATATGTAATAAAATTTTTTATTGTTATTTTCGTGCGATTGGTGAATTTTAGGTGGTGTATTGTTTAACTTTTATTAATTTTTCAAATGAAAATTGTATTCTTGAATGTTAATTCCGAGAAAGTATTACAGTTTTTGTTAAAAAACTGCTCATATTTAATTTATCGACATGAAATTTTTTTCATCGATTAAACTCAAAAAAAGTTTTACCTGGTTTATTTCTTGCTAATAATCAATTATCCATAAAGAAAAACGCATTTTACCTTCTTGTTTTCGACACTGAAAAAAAAATTTATTTGATTCAAATACCGGTGTATTTGGTTATTATCAAATAAATATTTACTTGAATCAAATATTTCTTATTTGAATCAAATATATAATATTTGAATCAAATATTTCAGTATTTGAAGCAAATACCATTTATTTGATTCAAATAAGAAATATTTGATTCAAGTAAATATTTATTTGATAATAACCAAATACACCGGTATTTGAATCAAATAAATTTTTTTTTCAGTGGAGAAAAGGCTGTTGAAAATTTTCAAAAATTATAGTTTTAAGGCCAGGTCCAAGTCGTGTCAGCTGTTCCATTGGAAATTTCAAAGGAACAGCTGACTCGACTTGGACCTGGCCTTAATGTAGATGGCGCTGTCTCACTTGGATCTGGCCTTAAGATTATGTTTAACCAGCAACGATTTTAAGGTTATGTTCACAAAACTTTATAAATCGAAAAAAAAATATTTACAAAAATAATATCTCCAGTGTCTATTATAACCTCAAAAAAAGGAGATTAAAAAAAATTCCTTCTCTCTCTCTCTCTCTTTCTTGTGGAACAAAATGAGACACGTTCCTGGTACCTGTTACTCTCTCGCATGCTCTCATTGCTGTCTTCTCTTGCATCGCTCTACCAAAAGAGAGAAGACAAGAGAGAGAGAGAGAGAGACTCCAATATTGAGGTCTACGTCCCTGAGAGAGCAAAATAGTGGTCCTAGAGGGGTTTGGAGGAGGGGGAGGGGAATTGGAGGGGTAAGAGGATTGAAAACCCTCTCAGGAGTGGACGAGAGGGGTGGGGAGGGGGGAGGTTGGTGCGCACAGTTGTGGCAGGTATCGGATCGGATGAAAGAGAGGGGGGGGACTAGAGTAAGAGGTGGGGAGTGTAGAGGGGAAGAGCGGGGGTGGATTGGAATGGAAAGGCAACACACAGGCGAGGCAAAGCGGTTTGGCTGCCGCCAGAGTAGCAGCAGGCATACATTCAGTCGATTCGAGAGAGTTGAACCTCTCGTTGGCACGCCGTTTGAATATATCGAGAGGGAAAAAGAGAGATAGAGAAAGAGGGACAAAAATAGAGAGAGAGAGAGAGAAAGAAGGACAGAAATAGAGAGAGAGGGAGAGAAATTGAGTAAGAAAGAGAGAGAAAAGGAGTGTGTGTATGTGTGTGTTAGTGTGAGAGTGAGAGAGATAGTACTATACACATACAACAAGAGAGTCAGATCATGAAAGTGCTCCGTCAGGCGAGAGCTTCACTAGTATAGTACTGTCAGTGCAGTGAGCGCGAAACGATTATAAAACACGGCTCTAAACTGGCATTTTACTCTCGTGTTGTCGCGTTTTTAAAAAACATAATAATAATAATAATAATAAAGAGAAAAAAAAAATTATTTTCAAAAAATAAAATTAAATTCGTTTCCCTGACTACCTTTTGATAAAAAATAAAAAAAAAAAATAATAATATATATACCGACCTGTGCCAGGAACCTGGGACTCGGGAGGAGCTCTCCTGTCCTCTATATAGGATTATTTCATTTTTAAACGACAGGTATGGGAATATTTCAATGTAATTCTTATATAAATAATATAATATTATAATAAGACAATTATATAATTATAATATTATAATAAAATTAATATATTAACTAATTTAATGTTCAGAATTAATTAATTATTATTATTATTAAAATAAAAAATAAACTCTCTTGTGATATAAATAAATAAAGAAAAATGATTAATTGCTAATTATACTGAATTATAAAAAAAAATAATTAATAATAATAATTAATTAAATATTATAAATATACTAGAGAAGCTCCCCCTCCCTTCTTTCACCATATACAAGAAGGAGGAACCAAAAATGCGCTAAAGAAATTTTTAATCATGTCAGGATTTTTTTTTTACATAACTATTTTTTTTTTTAATACGTATATAATAACGAAGATGCGATCCTTTGGGATGCTGAGGGACTTTCTTTTCTAAATTTAAGAAATGAATAAATTAATAGAAATTAATAAGAATTTATTAATATTATTTGTTATTTATTTATTAATTGTTAGTATTTTTTATTATTATTATTTTCTGTATTATTATTATTATTTTTTTTTATTTGCATAAGTAACAATAATTATTATTATTATTACAATTTTACTATTATTTTTATTATTATTATTGTTATTATAATTTAATGATATTATTAATTGATGAAAATTTAAATTTAATAAAAAAATGGTGTAATTTTTTTCTCCTCTTTCTTGAATTTGGCATAATTTGCTTTTCAATAAACATGTAACAGTTGTTTAAACACTTCCGTTGCGTGCAAAAAAGTTGTACACACTGCAGTTTGATAAAAAGCACTTTTATAATCCTAAACATGCTAATTATAAAAGTCGGGACTTCAATGATTTAAACAAGCGCGCCTTTCTTGATTTTTAATTCTTATAAACTATTTGAATAATTATAAATAACTTTGGACGATTCGATAGTAATTAATTAATATTTATTTCATGATATCATCATTTCTATTATTTATTATTATTATTATTATTATTATTATTATTATATTATTTATTATACTAATTAATTATTATTATAAAAAAATATTATTATTAAATACTACTACTAATAATAAATACTATTATAATACATATAATATAATATAATTATATTGATATTATAATAAATAATATATTTTATAATAAACTTTAAACTAAATTAAAAAGTAAAAGTTTAAAAATAAATAAAAAAAAAAAGTAAAAGTTAATAAATAAAATTAGTGAAAGTTTAAAGTAGATAAAAAAAATGTTTATAGTAAATACTAAAAAAAAACAGTTGTTATAATGATAGAAGTAAAATAAATAAAAAAGTATATGACATAAAATAAATATTATTAAATGATAACAAAAAACAATTGTATAAAGATTGTTTAAAAATATTATATAAAAAAAAATCAATACTTTTACATATATTTTTCCCATTTTTATTTAAAGAGAAAATATTTCAATTCCTTTTTCTTTATTTTCTTTTTTTTTCAATCGTTCATTTATTTAATTTCTCCTTAAAAACAATAAGTTCAATACTTCTTTTCTTATATATTTTTTTTAACTATTTATTTAAATTAAGAAAATTTTAAATTAAAAAAATATTCAATAATATAATATAATAAGCAAAAAATATTAAAATATAATTTTAATATAATTTAAAACTTCTAATTTAAATCGTATAACAACATTTTTTTCACCTTAAATTGAAATAAAAATTAATTTTTTTTTGTTATTCTTTAAAAAAAAAAACTTGAAAATAGTGTCTTTATTTGGGGAGAATTAAAAGTTGGTCTTTATAAAGTTGTGTGTGCAGTATAAACCGGATATAGTTTACCTCCTTCAGCAACAGGTTTTACCTCGACTACTAGCAAAAAAAAAAGAATAAAAAAAGAAAAAAATGAAGAAGGAAATGAAGCTAAAATATAAAGAATAAGAAGATTTTAATATTCAAGCAAATTAGAATATATTTATTATCATACACAAAAAAAGTGATTTTAATATTTTTCCTATACCATTTCAAATTTGTTTTTTCTTCCCCTTTTTTTTTTTATTTATTTCTTTTTACATTCTCATCCAATGAGAAGATAATATTTTCAAAAAATTGTATATTCATATTTAAAATTAGAAATATAAAATTCAATATATAAAAATAATATTATAAATATTTTAATTAATATAAATTTTTAAATTTATACACGATAAAATTTTTTTTACCTGGAACAGCGATAAATTTCACTAAAATAGGGAAAATTTTCGTTATTCTAAAGAAACATATATCGCTGTTCCCAAATCAAAAAAATTTTTTATAAAATTTTTTTAAACAATTAGAAATTTTAAGAAAAATTAAAAATGCAAAAAAAGAAATTAACTATATCGTAAATTGATAGAGAAAATAATTTTCTGTTCATATATGTGATGTGTGACAGTTGCCTCTTTTTTTTTTTTTTTTTTTGTTTCAATATTATTAACGATCAGTTACAAACCAGATGTTCAAATTGCCATGAGCACATTGAGCATTGTTCAAATATCTCTGAGTCAGATATTTTCAATTCAATGCTTTTAATTAGACTGCAAAAATTCAGCGGCAATGTATATTTTAAATAACAAAACAAACAATGGAGCATTTAATGAAGAAATAAAAGAAAAAAAAACAATTTACAGAAAGAGAAAGATATACTCTTGGGAATGAAAAAAAAAATGAAAAGGCAAAAAACGCACAAGTATTTAGTAAAATAAAATGTTTCTTTTGTTTAGTAGAATTTGATGAATTTACTTTTTTTTTATTATTTTAATTAAGTACTCTGAGAAAGAACAAAATGGTATTTTTTTAAATTATAAACATTAACATTTTTATAAACAATAATTCAATATAGAAAATAATTTGTTATTTAATTCAATTATACTTTTTTTTATTTTTTTTTATTATTTTATTATTCCTTTATTATTTATTTCGTTGCATTATTAAGTTTTCTTTTTATAGAAAAAATTTATTACATTATTTTTCTATCAATTTTTTTTTCATACATATTTTATTCCATTTTAAGATTGCATTCAATTTATTCATTTTGTGCCTCCTCTGAAAAGAAGTGTTTTATATATTCTCGAAATACGATATATATATGTATAATGTTTCGCGCATTATTCTGCAACACGAACTGAAAGAGAAGAGAAAATTACCTGGAAATTTTTCTAGAAAATCGTCAGGTATATAATTCATGGACATTTTGTCATTCTTGACATCTTTTCAAGGCCGAATTCTCGAAAAAAACTCTTACGTTACAGTTTTTTTCAAAAAAAAAAAAAAAAAAAAGCATTCAAAAAATTATCTACTCCATTATTTATAATTATATATTAAAGAAAATTCGAAAATTTTGAATGATTTTCACAATCAGATAGTTAATAATTATAGTAATTAAAAAATTATTAGAAATTTTTAATTCATCATGGTCTTTTTTTTACACTAGATTGTTTTTTTTTAGATCATTATTTGAATATTACAATTGTATAAATTTTTTTCGAAAAGAACAGTATTTTATTATTTAGTTGATATAATTTTTTATTTTTAATAATTTTTTAGAATTTATTTTTAATTAATTAATATTATTGTTATTAAATATTATTATTTTCTATTATTATCATAAATTATTTTTATTAACATTGTATTATTACCAATTATTATACCATAATAAATTTTTAAAATTATTAACAATAATTATGTTTCCAAACGCCGCGCCGGGAATTGAACCCACGACCCTTTGGTTCCCAATCAGAAAACATAGCCACCTAACCAAGCGCGCACACATAATAATTATATTTTATTAAATACAAAAATAACAATTATTCTCAAATAAATCATATTTTTAATTAAAAATTAATGAATATTTAAATTATTACATCATTTTATATATAAAATTAATTAATATATATATATAAATAAAATTTATTGTAATAATTTAAATCAAAAAAACTAAATTAAAAAAAAATTTTTTAAAACTAAGATGTAATTGAAAAAAATTCTTTTCCTTTTTGCAGATTAATAAAGACGAGGAAAAATTTGGAGGCAAAGAAAAATGGGCCCTAATCGGTGGGACTGTTCATCAGGCCCCGTGCAGGTCTCTATTTTATCAACAAGGACGTGGGGCAGGTCTCGACATCGTCTCTCGTGATACTCAAGAACCCGAATTATTTTTTCGGGGAACACTTCGTTCCCAATTTAAATAAGTGATAATTTCCCCCTGCCCCCCCCCAAAAAAAATCATTTCCCCCTCATCTTAACAAAAAAAAAAAAATCGTAATCGTCAAAAAATAGTGCGGTAGTGATTTTTTTCTTGGTTACAAAAAAAAAATGAAAGTGAAGGAAAGGTTTTTTCCTTAAAAAAAAGTGAATGAGTGCAGTTTTTTTTTTTTTTAAAAAAGGGGTGTGGCGTTAAGTGTTCTATAGCGTGAAGTGTGTGCTTCTTTGTCAGTTTTCCCCCTCACTTCTCTCTTTTTCACCATCCACCCACTCCCCTTTTTTCCACTTAATAAAGAAAAAAAAAAAAAAAAACCAAGGAATCATGAAACTGACGAGGAATCGACAACCGGAACCGCTTTCACGGTTTTGCCGGTCTCTACTTATTTTGCTACTATTTTTTACCGAGGTGAGTTCATCAAGGAAATTTAATTTTTTTTAAATACATTATATGCTAATTTTAGGTCGATATATATAATAACCACAAAGCAGAATAATTAACAAAATATAAAATTATTTCTTTTCTCTGTAAATTATTACATCAAAGCAAAATATTTCATTTGTAATGTAAATTTAATTGTTTCGTTATTATATAATTTTTATTGTCGGCATTATTCAGAGTGAATTGAATGTATTATGCTTTTTAATTAAAATTAATAGGAAAACATATTTTTTTAACGATTATTTAATCCAAAAATTATTTTAATTAATTAACAAATTAATTATTGATGTAAATGGTAATTATTTTAAATATAATTGTGATAGATATAGTATATCTATTTGAGGTAACCTCTATAATTATTAATTCATTTGCCAAATTAATAAAAAATTATTAATAATAATTAATTATTACAATAATTTTAGTTATGAAATAACGCGTTATCGTTACAAATAGTAACGTTTTATTTTAAAAAAATTTTTTTTGCGTTACAGCAATTATATACCGTTACAGACAGTAACGCGTTACCGTTACAGTAGATAGTATCATTTGAACTTCACAGAATGTAACGCGTTACCGGTTTAGAATAATGTTTAGTTATGAAAAAACGCGTTATCGTCACAAATAGTAACGTGTTACTGATAAAAAAAAATTTTTGCGTTATACCAATTTACCGTTCAAGGTAGTAACGCGTTACCGTTACAGTAGATAGTATCATTTGGTCTTCTCAAAACGTAACGCGTTACTGGTTGGAAAAAATGTAAAATCGTTACAATTATGAAAAAACGCGTTACCGTTATAAATAGTAACGTGTTACTGTGAAAAAAAATAATGAGTTACAGTTACTTTAACAGTTACAATAATAATTTGTTACTTTTACAGAAAAAAGTATCGCGTTAGCATTAATAAATATTACGTCAGCGTTACGAATAGTAACGCGTTTTATTTAATAATTGTTAATATTTCATTATTAAAGAAATTTAAATGAATCATTATTTAAATTATCAATTAAGTAAATAATTATAATTTTTTGTTTATTAATTAATATTTTTTCTTAAAAATTGATAAAATTGGATTTAAATATATATTTATATTAAAAACAATTATTGTTATTAACAAAATTAAAGAAAACAAAATATAAACAAAATTAAGAACAAAATATATTATGTAAACAAATTAAACAATAAAATGTTATTAATAAAAAAAACTAAAATATTAACAAAATTAAAAACAAATTATAACAAAATATTATAAACAAAATTAAGAATAAAATATTATTATAAACAATATAAAATAATAAAAAAATTTTGCAATAAAATTAAATTTTTGTTGGAATAGAAACGAATAAAAATAAACCAAAAAAAAAAAAAATAATAAAACGAAATAAAAAAAATAGAAAAAAATTATTGTTAAATTAAATAAATTGTAAAATTATGTTAAATTAGTTGAATAGAAATTGAAAATTTTCTCAAAAGAATTGAATAAATTATTTTAAAGGGCACGTAACTTAAAAGGGTATAGTTTCCAAGAATATGTGGAAAAAATTTCATTGTTATCAAAATGAAAGAGAATAAATGGAACACACACATATATATATATATATATATATATATATATATATATATGTATAATATATATGCTGGAGAGCGACAGAGAGGAATTTTTGAAGAGTGCATAACGAGATTTTTGGGAATCCATTACAAAAGCCGGGAAGGATTAGGGTCATATATATATATATATATATATATATAGTGCTCATAGAGAAAATAATCTCTAGAATTTCAAGCATCAGCTGCAACACAGCATCCAATGAATTTAATCTTGTCAGTGGAGGTTCAATCAAAGGGGCATTATGTGAACTTGTTAATGAGAATAGGTGGAGGAGGAGCGCGAGGGAGAAAATTAACAGCGGTGAGGCGTCAAACAGGAGAGACACTTGTTTCCCATTATTTAGAGACAAAAAAAAAATAAATTGTATTTTCAATTTTAGAAAAAAATTTTTTTTTTTTTTAAATATACAATACAATAACTTTTATAAAACAATCAAAATGAAACACTCGCTATTTTTTGTAATTAAACATTGTTTTTAATTTTTTTTTTTAAACTTTTTTTATTTTTTCTTCCTATTAACTATGGAATTTTTTTTTTACAATTAATAATAATTGTTAATTAAAAGATTAATAAAAACATTTTGTTAATTAAAATCTTGTTAAAAATTAATAAAATCAAAATTATATAATAAAAAAATATATACAAATTTAAAAACAATTTTATGTTTAATTAATCTTTAATTAACATTTTTTTAACAAATATTTTTTTTTTTCAAATTTGATGTATAATAATTTGTGTATAATAATCATAAAATAATATTTTCAAAAAGTAACTAATTACAAGCAATTAATTAATATATATATATTTATATATATGAATCAACAGATTTATTCAATTTGAATATGAATTTATAATATCAAAAGAGAGGTTATAAAAGACAAATTAATTTTTCGAAAAAAATTTAATTTGAGCAATATCCTGTTATAAATAAATATATATATATATATATTGTGGAATGCCTTGCAACTGTAAATTGAAATTGTTTTTTATTTTCTTCGAGTTCGTTATGCTGTCTAATAATTAATTTCCCGCCCGCATAATGTGCTATGACTTCAGTAATAAAAGATTACGCCATAAACACAAGGGGTTCAGCAATATAACGTAAAACGTCTTACCTCATTGAAATTCTTTAAGAAAAAGAAGCAAAAAAAAAAAAAAAACAGAAAAAAATAAATAAAATTCGCTCAAAGAACCTCACGACTTTGCCAATAAATCATTTTTAAAATAAACGTCACACACATTTTTCCCATGTGAATACATGCAAAATTTTTGTATTTTTTTTCTTATCTCTTATATACAGGACAATACCTTTTCTATATAGTAATAAAAAATAAATAAATAAAAAAATTTTCAATTTCTCATGTAATGGAAATTTATTTATTTTATTTTATTAGTTTTTATTATTATTATTATTATTATTTTAAAAAATACATAAAAAAATTCTTTTAATTGATTTTTTAAAATTGAATTAGTGGTAAAAAAAATTTGTGGCAAGTTTCTTATTTTTATCGAATTGAATCTGATGGAAAGCTAAGTCGCAGACTTGACTTGAGAGTTTTGCAAAGACATATATATATATATGTATACAGACTCGGCCATTGGTTATAATATACAGTTCTTTTCCCGCTTGGATAGCCTTCCCCTTCACTGTCTTTTGCATTCATAAAATCCGCGAGCATTCTAAAACCTGAAGCGATGTATCACAAATACACCCAGTAACCTAAAAACGAATTTTGATCTCTTTCTCAAACACAGAAATTTCTAGAAAATTTTTTTTTTTTTTTAATTTAATTTACGCGTTGTTACGTTTATGAAAACGTAACACGTTACGGTTACAAAAAAAATTGTGTTACCGTAATAATAGTTGTTAAAATACTGTTACAAATAGTAACGCGTTACTGTTACAGTATCGTTACTATTACTGTTATCGTTAGATCGTCCCAAAACGTAACGCGTTAACATTACCAACAGTAACGCGTTACTGTTATAAAATATAATGCGTTACAGCAATTATATACCGTTACAGATAGTAACGCGTTACTGTTACAGTAGATAGTATCATTTGAACTTCACGGAACGTAACGCGTTACCGGTTTAGAATAATGTTAGTTATGAAAAAACGCGTTATCGTCACAAATAGTAACGTGTTACTGATAAAAAAAAATTTTTGCGTTATACCAATTTACCGTTCAAGGTAGTAACGCGTTACCGTTACAGTAGATAGAATCGTCTGCCCTTTTCAAAACGTAACGCGTTACCGGTTGAAAAAAATTTAAGATCGTTACAAATGTGAAAAAAGCGTTACCGTCACAAATAGTAATGTATTATTGTGATAAAAAAATGAGTTACAGTAACAATAAGAATACTGTAACACTAATAATTTTTCTTACTGTTACAGAAAAAAGTATCACGTTATATAAATATTACGTTAGTGTTACAAATAGTAACGCTTTACCTTCACACTGTAACGTTTTTTAAACAATTTTTTTTAAATTTGCTCAATACATCGAAAAATTGAATTTTATTTTGATCTTTTTATTATATGACAGAATTGAAATTTTACAAATTTCATAATAACTATTTATATATATATATATATTAGTCAAGTTGTAAGTTACTTAAAACTTTTACACGCTTCAGTTAATTCGTGACTGAAATTTGAAAGTTGACCCGAGGCATTCGCAGAATAAAGGAATAAAAGACAGTCTGCTCTATATAGAAACTTTTTATTTTCGAATAATTCAATTCTATTTTATTGTCCTTCGCACAATGTCAATGTGCGCTAATTAAGAGAGGGAAAAAGAAGATCAAGAATCTGATTACAAAAGTTAATTCATCGGGGTAAGCAAAAAAAAATTTTTATTTTTCTCAATTTAGCAGTCTTAATGTTTAATTATTTAATAATTATTTATTAATTATATTTATTCATTATTTGTTAATTGTTTATTATTTATTTACGATTTAATATTAATTTATTAGTTACTAATTATAATCACTAATTAAAGCTATGTAAGAAATGAAAAGAAAGAAATAAGAAATTAAAAAAAAATTAAATCCCAGGGGAATCGAACCCCAAACGTATGATTTAATCCAGAATCTAAGGCGCTTTAACGACCACGGCTATTGCGAAAATCAAAATTTTTTTCTCCAATGAATCACAATTTCTATTAAATAACATTATTATATAATAAAATTAATTAAAAATTATTCGAATTAGTTAAGAAAAAATTTACCAATTCAAATTTAATATATAGAAAAGGATTTTCATAGTAATTTTATTTTTCAAAAAAAAATATGTAATAATTTAAAAAAAAGATATGTCTTCTTGACGCCGGAAGTGGGACGCGAGGTATGATGAA